TATATATATAAAGAAAAGCATATTACTGTGCATGAGTCAGCCTTACAATCTGAGCCATATTGTGTTAAGATCACAGCTCTTACAGGCACTACAAGATTAAATATTTGATTATTTACCTTGGGTGAAGTTAGTGGGGAAGTGACATCAAGACATCAGAGCAGAGAGATGAACAAGTCGATAAATGGTGAGTTTCGCAAACTGAGCTAACGGGATACAGTTTATAAAACTTGAGATTAGTGTCTAATTACAGTCAAATACATAACCTTTTGGCATAAGGTTGTAGGAATCCAAATCTTCCCTCTGGATTGTATTTTCTGCTCATCTTCTGTGGTTCGTCAAGCTGTAGTAAACAGCATGTTTACCAGCGATTTAAAGGTAGAAGACGTTTGAAGGTCGGAGATCAAGCTTTGATTATGATGCAACAAGAAATGCTTTGTCATGCCTGCGAGATGTCAGTAAGATGAATCACAGAAGTCTATTAGGCTTTCCAAATAGGAATTCAGATTAGACCTCAGCAAGGTGATGTAACAGGCTTGTTGTTTTCTCCTGTCCTGAGAAAGTTCTGGAAGTCACTTAGTCATTTTAAAGGTGAACTATTATGCAAAATTCACTTTTTAAAGGTTTTTTTACTCAACTTTGGGTATGTACTTCTTAGAAAAACAGTCCTAGGACCAAAACAATGCACCCAGGGGCATATTTACTGTAAGTAAATGTATTTTTAATGTCTATTAATGACAAGTTTTATACTTCCTACATTTTGTGATGTCACAAGCTGTACGAAAACCCACCGGAACCTGTGTTCAGCCCCTTACCCAGCAACCCCCGGGTGAGGCTCCTCCTCCTCAGTATAAAAAGCCATCAAGGTTGTTGGTGTGTAATGCGCAGCTCATTTCACAACAAGCATCCAATAGGGCAATGGGTAGAGTGTTGCACTAAAGAGTGGGAGACCAGGGTTAGAGACCGGCATGAACACAATTTAATTATTTATTTTCATTCGTTATGAACACGTTTTTTCATGTACTTCTATTGTTTAGCTTATTAAAGCCTTTTTAAAGCCTTTTTGTTCGAGTTTCTGAGGTATTTTGACCGCTGCTGCTCCCTGCTCTGGTAACAGCATGCAGAGTGAGCGCAGAGCTCCGACACAGGAGGAAGGGGAGAAAAAAAAGCTGCGACCACGACTCTGCCTCTGGGTCTGACTCAGGGTCTCATATATACGGTTGTACAACGGAGCTTCTGCTATTATTAGCCATGCTAACGTAAACGCTGGCTTTGGAGGGCGGAGTTAATGTCAATAGATTTTTGAAGGGAGGGCGTTACCAACAGAGCTCATTAACATAAACAGCTCTTCTGAATGGAAGTCAGAGCAGGCAGAACTAGAAAATAGGAAATTTTATTATCTGAGAATTATTTTGTGCATTAAATTGAATGAACATGGTCTGATAGCCCACAGACATACCATAAACATTTCTAGGACCCATAATTGGTCTCCTTTAAGTTACGTTTTATCAATTCAAAACTTAAGGCATTATATGTGTTGATGCAGCAACTGTTATAAACATTTATAGGCACATTCAACCTATTTTTTCCCCCCTCTTTGTCTTTTCTCAGGTAAATTACGGCAAGGTCTGTAACGAGAGTCGTAAAAAGCTGCAGTTCACCGTGTCTCGCGGCTGCAGCCCGGAGTTTGTGTTCGTGCCCTGCGGCAGCTCGGTGGCGGTCTATGCCCTGCACACGGGAGAACTCGTCACCATGCTCAGGGGTCACTACAATAACGTGGACTGCTGCGAGTTCCACCCAGACTATCAGGTGAAACACAAAACACAACCAGGGAGCGACAACATGCCTGTCTTTCAGCAGCACTTGCTTTGTTCGAGTTTTCTGCCTACCCTTTTTTTTGTTTGTTTTTCCAGRCAAGTGTCACTTCTTTTGCTGCAGGAGCTCAGATGCTGTCAGGTTCTCCCTTTAACTCTCAGATATAGTTGATGCAATAAATATAATCGGATATAGAGCAATGAGAAGTGTCTGTAGTTTAGAATCCCTGTGCTCTGTAACTTACAAAACACTTGTTGTTGTTGTTGTTGTTGTTGTTTCAAGATTGGACGATAACATTTTTAGAAACCACTGGAGCAGATTGACACTGGTGTTATGTCACAGCCTGATAAAGCTTGATAAATGTTAACGTTCCATTTTTTTACTTAACGTATTTTAAAGAAAATTAAGTTGCAAGAATTTACAGCTTTATAAAACTCACATTATTATTAACTTTAAATTATAATGCATTTAGCACTGCCAGCTTTACATGCAAATGATTAAACAACAAAACATTTAAATAGTAGTAGTTTCATGCAAAAGATGGGATCAAACAAGACTTGCAAATTTGATGAAATGCTACAGCGTCAAAATAAATGGAAAGTATGCATTTTTGTTCATTTTAGCTTGACAGTTTTGCTTCAGTGGAGGAGATAAAACATCTATTTTCTTACAGTTGATATTTTGCGAGCATCAGAGCGTGAAACATATTCATTTTTCTTTTGGACAAATATACAACCACGCCTTATCCACAGCTGGACAAATAATGCTAATAATAAGTATTTAAGCTGCTTAGACTTTTACAGGTTAGTTTTTGACCAATATGTAGCCAAACCTTTAAAAAGATTTTCTTTTTTTTCCACCACTTTTCTATACCTGTTTGTCTTAGTTCTGACAGATTCTGTACTTATGAGGTAACTCTCAAAAGGGGTGTGGACCTTTTTTCTAGCCCACGATGTCCCCATTAGGTCATTTCATATCCGGCAACACACCAGCATTTTCTGTTTGTGACTGTGGGAAGAATGCAGTTCGGCAGCTTGTCACTCCAGAGTTTCAAGAAAGGACAACTAGTCCCGTTAGTGCACTTGATATATTTCCTTTTTCAATACTAAGGAAACGACCTTTTATGTATTTTCTGCAATTATGTTGGAAAATTATTAATAAGAGGCGATATAAGGATGCAGTTAGAGAGGACGTGGAGGTAGTTGGAGTGAGGTGGAGGAGGATGACTTGCTGATGCAACCCCTGAAGAGGAAATAAGCAAAAYAAGTGTTGGAGCACTTGACATGGCTCCTATCAGACAATTTGCTTGACTGTAGTTTAGAGTGTTATAATTGCTGTACTTAACAGGTGCTGACAAAATAGGAAGTGAAGCATTTTCTCCTTAAAGCCCCTTTCTGTAACACTGAATAAAAATCCACTTTGTGTGTGTAGGAGCTGTACAGTGGAGGTAAAGATTGCAACATTCTGGCGTGGGTACCCGTCCTTCGTACCCCAGACATGGAAGAGGAGTCAAATCAGGAAAAGAAGGTAGGGGCGTAAAAATTAGACAGAAGAACAAGAAAAACCAAGGGTTAATTACAGGTTTCCATGGTGTACACAATTTTTTTTTTTTGGGTGGAATTCTTCTTGCTTTTAAAAGAACAGGTTCACGTACCTGTTTTAAAATTACTCATGAGAATACTTTTGCTTTCCTTTAAATGTCTTTACTTGCTCCTAAACCACTCCCTTCAAGTCTGCATTCAAGTGTTAAAGAAAATCACAAAAAAGATGTATTTACTATTGATCTTTTTGCAGTTACTAATACCCAAATGCTGTAGCTATTTCCAGTATTCAAGATTGGTGTTCAATTCTAGCATTTTGGTCCTTTACACCTGTTTTACTTTTACGCATAAATTACATCATATCTGTATTTATGCATAAAGGAAATGAAGCGTAGCAAATCCCTATCTAGACCACAATGCATCCCATAATAGTGACTCAGAGCATGCTCATTACAAACTGAACAGATCACTTACAAACTACAAAAGAATGAGACGCTTCTGGAAATCACTACAGCAAAAGAATTTAAAGGGAAAGACAAAGACAATAGGAAATACATGTCTGTCTTCATTATATTATTTTTATAACTTGGCTTGATTTCATACAGTTTTTATATTAAATTTGCATCTTGAGCAAGAGACACACTGGTTAGTTTATTTTACATTTATCTTTTCAAAGTCAATCTAACATCAAATAATATCTTCAGACTGCTTTATCTCTCCGATTGAAACGAGCAGTAAGGAAGATTTCAGAAAGCCTGAAGTGTTTTGTAAAATTCATGMTTTTGTTAATGACAAACCTAATACAACCCTTTGAAGCCATTCATAAAGTCTGTGTGTTGCTGTTTTTTTTTTTCTGTACCAGCATTAATAAACATGCGTCATCCGTGGAATTTCAATTACAATAGCGCAGCACTAATTAGCTAAGTTATCTTAGCTACAAACATGCATGTTTCGCAGTGGGTAATCACGTGTAGTCCTAATTTGTTTGCACAGGTGTTATTTAGCTCAAGAATATGTTCAGATAAATTATACATTTGAAACATGAAATTAAAATGAATATTTTTTATGTCTCACAGGGTGCTGCTGGTCCATCTGCTGTGAACCCAGCCTTTCAGGACACCTGGAGCAGTGATGAAGACTAATGCAGATGTTTTGAATCTGTTTACATTTATTATAGGGGCTTGCCCTATGATTTTGGGGGTTAGTCTGTGACTGTTTGGKCTTAAAACCTAAGAAAAGTGTGTAAATAAGTGTAAAATATAAATGTCTACAATAAAGTACTGATATTTTGTTTTATTATCTTTTTTAAGTATCACCTTTTGCTCACATGTGTGGGAGAAAGCAGGCATGAAAAATAGTAAAATTTACGTTTGTTTATGAGTTTTGTTGTCACGCCCTGCCGACACTCGCAGATAGGAGTCTCGCTGAAACCTCTAACTTGGACACACGCCCTACCAGATTTACATAATGCCAATATAAACATCTGAATTCTGATGAAGTGATTTGAGATATTAACTTTTTTTAATTTTACAAATAACCAGTGATGCCTTGTTTAATTTTGCTGTGACATAATGAAGACAATGGAAAATAACAACCCTGAAGCTCTCTGTTTCTTCTGCGCCTTTCTTTTTTTTTTAATTGAAACTAGTTGAGGTTATCACATTCGTAAACGTTGAATTGTTCTTTCAGTAAATTGTACATAGCTTTCTATGAGACACCGCCAAAGAATGATGGTTTGACAAGACATCAACCAATCAGCAAGGCGCGGGGCGGGACTAGACTTTCGACTCCGCCCACTGAGATGAATGATAAAGAGCAAGCAGGCGGAGGAGAAGCAGCACGACGAGGTACCTGCGGAGAAAAGTAACAGGTGGAACGTGAAGTGAGGGGGAAAGGGGGAGAAAAGGATAACTCGACGCAACAAGTGGATTTCGACGAAGTTACACTTAAGGTTTGCATCTTTTTGTATAGTTTTTTTTCTTTTTTCGAGGAAATGAATAGAAAAACGCCATTCCTCGCGACTGATGGATGTAACCGTCGGCGTGACGTCGCGACGTAAAAAAGCTAAACGTAACTTTTAATACTTGTAGCTAGTTCGGATGCTGTACAGGAACACTTCGATTAATCCTACAAATTAAACCTTTTTTATGGCAGCCCTAAAAACTGCGTTTTAAARTGTTTTTATAAATCTTTTTAAAATTATAACAATTGCAAATTTGTCTTTKCGAACCGCTGAAATCTTTCGTACAGCTAATGAAAGCCGGGTTGGGAGGAGCAGAGAGCCCTGACCTTTCCGTTTATTGGCGTGTCAAGACTTGCCATTTTGCCATCATTAGAGACTTCTGACAGCCTTGCCTTTCTTTTCCCCGTCTTTTAAATGTCCCCATTTGCAATCAGGTAGACACACCTTGAACACCTGAATGAAAGCTTAATCCACGCCTAGCGTCCGTGTGTGTTTCCCAGTTCTTCATCCATCTGGGACATCACAACTGTTTCAGGAGGTGGGCTACAAAGACCATTTAATAGAGTTGAATGTCCTGATTTAGTTCAACTTTTACCCGTTTCAAAAGAGAAGTCCCCAAGGGTGCATTTCCCATGATTTGGTTCGAGAATGCTTTTGTTTTTAAAACCAGTCAGGCCAGTAAAAGTGTGAACACTTGCCTGACTAATACCTGTACTGAGACAGGCAGTGCTTTGTCAATTTGTCTTTAATCAGACCAGGTCAGTATTAATGGATCTATATAATACAATCAAATCTCATGAACTCAACTTGTCCAATGTGCATTCTTACACTTTAGGCATTTCAATTGGTGAATTAAAAAAAATGTATTAATTTAGGTTGATTTAACAGATGGCAGCATTGACATTGTCATAATTTCAGGGAGATGTTCAGTAAACTGTTCTGATCGACGAGATGGTAGTGGCACCACGTCACACACCTGGTGCTGAGAAATTGTGCCATGGATGACTGGTTTTGTGTAAGGTTTAAGTCCGATTTATCYTAGCGTGTTGTAAACCGATCGTGTCAAACGTGGAAACTGCTTCTTGAAGTTTCCGTAGGAATGTGGAGGAACCTGCATTCTGTCTATCAGATTAATGTTGCGCAATCTTTTTCCTTCCTCTTTTATATAAGTCCACTTCCTGTTTGTAGAATTCCTTTTTTGTAATGTAAAACATTTTTTTATTTCTTATCAAAGTCATTGGATTACAACGCCGCACCCTGTATTTTTTATTTAATTTTTTGCAGGCTTGTATCAGGGACAGAAATATCACTGGCTTGTTCTGCAACGTGRTCTTGTATTTAAATGTCAGCGACCCTGTGCACCTCAAACTGACATTTTACCCCCCTTTCCTTTTCCCTCCTAGGTGAACTACAGGGATTCCTGCCTGGAAAATGGAACTTTTTAACATCAAGTCTTCCGTTGCTCTCATTTATGATGAGTTCATGCGAAATGCAGGTGAGCCTTGTACATCAGGGTCATTCACACAAAGGGGTTTTCTTGCATTTTTTGTAACGGCGAACCTTTACACAATTAACCTCTGGGTCTACCTTTGTTCACATCCTACTGTTTGTGTCTGAACGCTGCCGATCTCTCAAACCTGTTGCAGATTCCCGGACYGAGAACTGGCTGCTCATGTCGTCTCCGGTCCCTCAAACCATCATCATCGCAGCGTACATTTACTTTGTCACATCACTGGGACCTAAAATAATGGAGAACCGCAAAGCCTTTGACCTCAAAGGAGTCCTCATTGTGTACAACTTTGGCGTGGTGGCTCTCTCGCTCTACATGATCTATGAGGTGTGTTTTGTTTTTTTGCTTCGGTTTCTGTAAAACTGGAATTTGCTGTGTTGAAATCGCTCTTTGAATGTAAAACCTTGTATGATGAAGCACGGCTCAAACAGGGAGCGATTCATTCTTTGAAATATGACTCAGTTTAGGCAGTCTGGAAGCAGAAAAGCTTGTATTATTTACAATGTTCTTAATTTTAGCTTCTATTTATTCTAAATCGTATGCTACATCAAACCTCTTAATGAAGTCAGATAGCTAATTGGTGCATTAAAGCAAGTTCAAAGCATATAATGTGTTTTTTTTTTTTCCTCTAGTTTATAATGTCAGGATGGGGAACTGGGTACTCCTTTCGCTGTGACCCACTCGACTACTCCGACTCACCTCAGGCTATAAGGGTAAGCCACTTTTATTTTATTTTATTTTTTACTTTAGTTGTTTGGCTTTTTTTAATTTTTTATTTTTTATGAATTTATGTTCC